CGGAATTTGGGTTCAGCAGCATCCAAGAAGCTGTTAAGGTCTGCCTGCACTGTTTGCAAGAAAGGGGTGCATAGAAAATGCCATCAGTGTAATAGAAAATAGAAGAAAATCAGATAAGGGTAAGAGACAATGAAAAATATGGGACTAAAGCAGAAAGAAAAGAAATTATATACAAATCTGAGACAAATGAATATACCTCAAGTTGGGGAAGGAGCACAAGCAACCAACTTGTCATGTCTTTAAGCAACTACAAACTAGTAGGCATCAGAAGCCAGAGAGATATAAAAATACAAAAACAGGGTACACAATAAACATTATAGATAGCACAATTGGATCCACCTGAAGATGCAAATCATGGGCATCTTGTTTGTGAGATATAATGGATGGAAACAAGTGGTTAACAACTGGTTGAAACTCTGGTTCCAGGCCAGTCACTGAAACCCCAATAAGCTGAAATGGTAGAAATATAAGAAACCTTAGTGCCAATAAATCTGAGACCAGATGTGATTCATTAATCACATGATGGGATCGTTATTAGGCAGGACATAATTGAAGAGAAATAATATATTTATATATCTATATACATGTATATATATTCAAAACTGCAGAAAAGTTAGGAGTTTCAAACGATTGGGAATGGACTTGTTATTTCATTGGAGAGGTAGCTATAACAGAAGGACAAATGGTGTGGCATGGGGGGCAAAAAATCAGAGCTTGATAAATGAAATTTATCGCAAGCAAGCACATATGGATTTATTCATATTTCATATGCTAAGGCAGATCAAATCAATAATGTCGCAGATATAATTCCCATATCATACCTGTATGAAGAAAATAGCTATGGGATTTCCCCTCAAACAAGATATTCGCACGTAGTGACAGGGAGTATAGTTCATGGGATAGATCATGTTGCGTCGCGGTGTTTCACAACATGGGCGAACTTTTACAAATGTCTCTGGCTGTTCAAAAACAAAATAAAGTAAAAACCCCAGAGCAAACAACTTGGTAGAAAATTCATCTAAAACATGCAGAACTGAAGCTTGAAGCTATATCAGCAGTTCACATTACCCTTAAATCATATACAATCAATTATGTTAAGATACCACAGATGCTAAAGTGGATTCAAAGCAAACAACTTTCATGAGTCGAGTTAGACAAAGAAATGAAATTTCCCATACTCAAAACAAAAACAAACAAACAAAAAAGCAGTTGACTAACCTTGTAGCGTAAGCCAACTGAAATTTCCCATTCGAGCACAGACTTGTTGTAAATTCGTATGTGCGATAACAAGCAAGGTTCCTACCAAACCCAGAAGACAAAATTTAAACTAAATCAAAATTATGTGAATCATAAAATAGGCTGGATTGGAGTTAGGGTTAGAGTAGGAAGGGAGGAAGGGAGAGGAGGTACGTTGAGCTCGAGAAGAATCCACTCCTTGGTGTTGGTAGCGGTGGACCAGTGGGAGCGGAGGTCGGCGTCGAGCACGTGACCCGCCTTCTGGGACGGCGACTCACGTGACATTGCCTTCACTTTGAATTCCAGAGGTTTCACCCTCGCCTCAAACTCTATATCCATCTTCCCTCTTTCTCTTTCACTGTGTTTCTAGTTTTGAAGAATTGACGAGGGGCTACTGAGTATGAAGGAGCTATAGAGAAGAAGAGTGTTTTCTTTGTTTAAAATCATGGTTGGGAAGCTCCTGCGGATGGTCGTCGTCGTCCGCGTCCTCGTGGAGGAGAAATGAGTTGGTGTTGCTATTTTTCTGTCTTGTTTTCTTTTCTTTTAATATTTTTGTATTAGGAAGAGAAGGGGCTTCTTCTTCAATTCAGATTTCAAAGATTCTGAAGGAAAAGTTCAGCTGTATTCAGATGAGTTGGATTCTAAACCCTCCAATCAGAATTTTTAAGTAATCTAAAACATTCAGGGGCGTATTGAATTAGCATTCAATAATATTTTAACCGACTTAAAAAATTCGGGTGTATTCAATTTAGATTTTAACGAATTTTTAAAAGGTTTATAAAAATTTGGGTGTATTCAATTTAGACTTATTTGAACTTTTAAAATGTCCATATAAATGTAGGTGTATTTAATTAGAACTTGGAAAAAATCCAAATAAATTTACCTGTTTTCAAAATGAGATGGATTTGGAAGGATTTAATTGAGTGTCGGAGTTTGGAGAACTTTTAGGGTTTAGGTATAAATAATAAAGGCCAACATAAGTCCAACCTCTACGGCAAAGATTTTATACAACGTGTTTTTATCTCTCTACAGAAGATGAACCACCCTCCAAAGATAGGCTCTTTCAATTTTCTTATTAGTTTTCCTTCTTCTTCCATTATTTTTTCTTGTTTGGTACTGTTCGTTAAGAACCACAAAGAACATTGACTGACTACAAGGAAAAGATACAAGAGTTAACTATCATCGCAAAAAGAAGCTAAAAGAGAATCTATCCACATGAATAACAAAACCATAGTGTATGCATCATCATGATGCCAACCTTCTATTAATTTAGTGTGTGTTTTTTGGTAAATTATGTTAATTAAGTTAGTAAGTTCTCAAGACATTGGTAAAATGGGACTAAGTTAAAAGAGATTGTGGAGTACAACGGTTAAAAAACCTCCTCACTCGCTCTCCTTATACAGGCTGAAACTGCCTTTGCAAAATAAGTCATTCGCTAAACTGAAACAGCGAGTCCGGCTCTCTCTCCCGTTCGCAACTCCATCTCTCTCTCTCTCTCTCTCTCTCTCTCTCTCTCTCGACTGCTTCTTCGAATCTTGACCAGGTAAGTTTTCTGGTCTCTCTTTCCTTCTTCCCCTTTGGGTCAAGTTGGGACCTTTGGGTCAAGTTGAGACCTTCAGCTCTGGTTATTGTCAAAGCTTTGGTTATTGTTAACATAAACTCTCTCTCTTCACAAATCATGCGATCATAACAGAATTAATGGTTTGAAATTGTTCTGTTCCGACAGGATATTCTGTTCCAGAAGGCTAAAAATGTAAAATGTATAGCTATGTGACTGTTTCAACTATACTCTAAAAACATAGTTTATATAGAAATCCCAACTGAACCCCCCAATACCCAGAAAGGAAAAAGAAGAAAAAAACAAATGAGTAAATTACAAGGCAAAATTAGAACAGGCTTGATTGCATATAGCAGAGAACTACAATGCAACTATATATCTTACCTTGGAAGACGCGGATCAAGCAGACGTTTTTCACGTAATTCTTCCATTGACAGAAGCTGTTATGGATCAAGAGTTCAACATTTACAGCCAACATCAGCTGGAAAATTGTTAATAAATAAGCAAGAAAATGCTACCGTATCGCGATCAGGCACAGATGGCATTTTTGCTTCCTGATGGACAGACCCTTCTTCTTCTTTCTGCAAAATAAAGCTAACCAATCTTAAAACCAACGTGCAACATTGCAGCAGTTCAACCGTAGCTACCACTTTAGCATACATTCAAGATAAGCAAATTTACAATATTTATTAGGACACGAGATTTATTATACAGCATCATTCCGCAGGCATATCGACTCCCTGGATACCATTATAATAACATTTTAGAAGGAAGGGAAAGGTTCAAGAATTTATCCCAGATGTCAAATGATAGTGCGATACTCAGCTCGCCAACCTCCGTTAGGTAGGGGATCTTTATGAATGCCAACTATTTGCTAGTCAGTACAGTTCTGAGGATATATTTCAGTATAATACCAGAAATTGTGTCTTTTAAGAGGTCCTAGACTGGTCCAACAACTGCCCTTGACTATTACTACCTTTAACCCATCGCGACACAACCTCAGTGTCTATACTAGACAAATTAGCCCACAGGGGGGTTAACACAAGCAAATATGAAAACCCAACAAAGAATTAAGTCCCTAAAGTGCCCCAACACTCAACTGCAAAATGTAAAACACTTCAATCAGCCAAATCAATTTTGTACTGTTGGCTAAGGTATCGCAATCATCTCAAGTTTTCTATATTCATATACAGGATACAAGAGCAGCCAAGCCTACATTCTTACATTCAGGAAAAAGAGCCTTGATTTTTCACCTTCTTAGTGAACCAGTTGGCAGTTCTCAACCTCTTTTCCTAATGAAAAGAAAAAGAAAAGTCCTTTTTTCCAAGGAAATAAAAATAAAAATTGGTGATTTGATGTTCTCAGCAATCTTTACCATTGACCCCTTCAAAATCCAGTAATCAAATGTAAAAACTACATTTTTTCAACTATGGCCCTTATGTTATCTTCAAAATTCTAATTATCATGTTGCATCAACTCAATAGTACAGCAAAAAAAAAAAATTAATATCCCTAAAGACATGGAACTTACTTGTGCATACAGTACTTGAACTCTTGGCCCCTAACTAGATCTTTC